ATGCTCTTAATCTATCTGCTACCAATGTAAAATAGACTATTCTATATAGGCAACCCTAAAAAGAACCCCTTAAATATCATTATTAAATGCTTTTCAGAACAGTTTTCAGTTCCTAAAATTGAAGATGAAAAAGTTGAAATCTTTCACATAACTGATATGGAAGATGTTGAAGAAACTTCTGCAAATATACAAGATACAATGGACCTATTCAATTATCAAGACATGATGGAAACCCTTGCACCAACCCTACCTGAATATATTATCACCTCTTTACAACCTTACCCAAATGTGGAATTTAGTCAAAAAGAAATCTACTATGGAGGAATACAGTATACCTGGTTCTATATTAAACATATTAGTATTCAACTATCCCAAAAATCTAATAGAAGAGACTGGCCTAAAAATTGAAAAGGACTATTAACTCAATGTTGGTGTTAAGATAAACTTTACTTACCATCAATAAATACTCCAAATGTCATATATACCTTTGGTTATAGCATACAATTAAACAATGTTCTTTAAAAGAAATTGATAAATGTTACTGGTTTATATCCGATGATGAAAACCATGATATCTAGGATGACCTTATTAAAGAAGCTGACCAAACCCAATCTGAAATGAACCTCATCGATGACACTTCAATTGAAAATCCTTTCAGAAAACCAGAAAGTGATAACCAGTATCTGCTAAGCAATTCTAATCCTAATAAAGAAATGGATACTTTTAGCAATGTAGAATTTGATGACTTTGATGAATTTAATATAGACATAATATTAGTTGATGAATCTTGATAGTTTCTCCTTTTAGAAACCCTCTCTCTAGAATATTATTTAGAATTTAATAACTATTCAGAACACTATCTATGTAATGTAGTTTGGTGGTAAGTAGTTAATCCAACTTATTATTATTATTAGTTATTTTATTTATATATGGGAGCGAGTCAACAGAATACAGGCAAATTGTTTTTATTAAAATTTTTCTTAAACTTTAAACTTAAATATTTTATTCAAAACTTAATCAATTTTGATGATTTAGTATTTATTTTAATTCTACTAATTTGTAGAATTAAAATAAATACTAAATCATCAAAATTGATTAAGTTTTGAGTGAGATATTTAAGTTTAAATTTAAGAAAATTTTTAATAAAAACAATTTGCCTGAATTCTGTTGACTCAACATCATATTATATTTATATTTTATTAAAAAGAAAAAAAATAGACAAAAACAAAAAAAAAAGAGATAAAAACAAATAATAACAAAAAAAAAAAAAAAAAAAAGAAAATATATAAAAAAAGAAAAGAAATGACAAAAAAAAAATAATAATATATATATAGCAAAATTAAAAACCAATACCAGACATTCTATCCCTATTATTATTATTATTCTTTCTTCTTTTTTCTATTTTTAATCTTCTCAACTCCTTCTCATTATTTGCCAACCTTGTCCACAACCGATTTCTTTCCTCCAACAACCAAGTATGCTGCTGCTCTAACATCCAACTAACCTGAACTTTTGCAACTGCATTTGCTCTCAACTCTTTTAACTCCATTTCTAGCCCTGTATTCTTCTTCCTAATGAGGTCATTAACTGATGTAAACTGTAACAAAGTTTTATTAAGTGACAAAAAAAAAAACAAGAAGAGAAAACAAGAAAATTTTGAAGATATTTACTGCCCATTCTCAACTTGGATCATCTCTAAAGCCTCATATAAGGTATTGTTGCTATTTCAGTAAGCATGACATACATTTTCTAAAAGATTTTGTTGAGACATTATTACTATTATTATTATTATTGAAGTTGTTGTTGTTGATGTTGTTGAGATTGTTATAAAAATCTTTTTTTTAAAAAAAAAGAGCAACAAAAAAATTATAATTTTTAATAAACAATAGTGAAACAAAAATAGACATCAATGAGAAGTTAATTTACCAAATTTAGAAATCAATTAAAAATTAATTTAACAAATTTAGTATAGTTAAGATTTGTAAGTCGTATGATTGCAAATCATATAAAATCCTAACATTTTATTGGATATTTTAAGTATCCTAATGATCTTCAAAAAGGATACAGATTTGAAATTTTGTAATATTTCTGGTATGGATTAACAGTCTAAGGCATATTACTAGGCTGTAGAGGGCATATATTCGAGACTGACTAGGGTGAGTTTTCTGCTAGGATCCAAGTTTTGTAAGACCCTTGGTTGAAGTACTGGAAATAGAATCTTTTTTATACTCTTTTGAACAATTATACTTATTTTTATTATTATATTAGAATATTATATTTATTAGTTAGATATCAATACTTTATTAGTTTTTATATATATATAGTATACTTATTTTTAGTTTAGTTTTCATCTGAGCCTAGAATAAATGGATGTCTAGAACTGCATAGAGCAAGACTGAAGCTCTATAAGCTTTTATAATTATATTTAATTCCCCTTTCTATTGAGACAAATCTGACATTAAAGAAAATTCTGTCTAAATAGTCAGTGTTTTAGCAACCCGGTTAAAAGATAGAAACTATTACTTATCACAACCTTAAGTACTTCTTGAAAACAGCAAATTTTTCTACAAATTTTATAAGAAGTCAAAGAAAACAACTAGAATCTCAAAATAAATTTTATATTATTAAAAACAATTTACTTTATAAACAAGACTGAAGAAAACAAAAGACCTACTAATTACTTAAAGTAATCCAAAAACATGAAGTAGAACCAATTCTCTACTTAATGCACAACCATCTGATTGAAGCACATCTTGGAACAGACAAGATGTTTGGAAAATTCAAAACAAATATTATTGGCCACATATGTATAAAGATATTAAAAACTATGTTCAAACATGTGATATCTACCAAAAGAGAGAAAAATACTGAATATCTGGACCTCTTCAACCAACTCCTATAAAAACACCTTTTTATTGAATTGGCATAGATTTTGTTGAATTCTTACCTACTACTATTCAATAAAACAAGTATATTATAGTTACTACAGACTATATGACTAAATGACCAGAAGCAAAAGCTGTACCTAAAGCAGATGCCAAAAATATAGTAGACTTTATTTATGAAAATATTATCTGTCGACATAGATGCCCTACATACTTGCAGTCAGATAGAGGAACATATTTCAATAATGAGCTAGTAAAAATGCACACCCAAAAATTTGAAATCCAACACTTACTCTCTATCTTTTATTATCCACAAACTAATAGATTAGTTAAAAGATTTAATCGAACATTATGTGAATCTTTAGTAAAATTAACTGATCAAGACAAAGATTGTGATATCTTTATTCTATTTATTTTATTTGCTTATCGAACTGCAAAACAATTTACTACCAAGTTTACACCCTTCTACCTTATTTATGGAAGAGAAGCAAAATTTTCAAAGTTTGATATCAATGATCTACTAGAAGAAAACTTTTTTACCCAACTATTCTTCTTAATTGAAGAATTACCCAAAGCACAAGAAAAAGCCAAAAACAACATCAAGAAAACTCAAATTTGACAAAAATTCTATTGGGACAAAAAGCATAAAAAAGTCAAACTAATCTTTAAAAAAGAAGATAAAGTTCTTTTATATGATGCTATAAGAGATAAACATTATTCTGACAAACTATTATCTAAATGAAAAAGACCTTATTTTGTGTATAAAAAAATTGTACCAGATGTTTACATATTGTGAACCTTAAAAGACAATATTTTGAAAACATCAATTAATACCTTATTGCTAAAAAGATATCACGATAGACACTTATAGAATTCATGATTGTTATTAATCAATCACCTTCTCATATTAATGGAAATAATACTTTCTCACAATGAATACCCATTTCAATACTATTCTTTTGAATTTTCTAAATACTGTATCTGCTTTTCTAACTACTGTATCTTGTTCAACTAATAAATTTCAAGACCTATAAAAATGAATAACTACCACATATAGAAAGCTCCTTAGGACTAGTAGTTCCCAAAGAAAAAAATAAGTTGTCTATGCTTATTACTTAGGTAAATTATTAGAAGAATACCCAGAAGAGTGAAAAACAAGTCGAAGAAAAATTTCTATTTATTATTATAGAGTTGTAATCAGAACCTATAATATTTTTCATTACCTTAAAATAGAACAAATTTTTAAAACCAATAATACTATTCTCTCAATAATTGATAGTCTATCAAGTTCTGATTATCATGTCCTATTTTAATTTTCACAGAGCTCAAAACTAAGTAGAGGAGAATGTTAACATTAAGATTTTATAAATTTTTGATTATAACTTTTAATGTACTGGACTAAATTGGATGAAACAACTACTATTGGATTTATTTCACCAAGATGATTCTAACAAGCACAAGATCATATGATTCTGATCACGGGATCATGAGATCGGGACAATTTTGATGAAAAACACTAATTATAATATATGTGACTTGATTCTGATTGGCTCAAATTACTGTACTGGAAATTTATTATTTCTATCATTTTTAGTAGATCTATCATTTCTATTAGATCTATCATTTCTATCAGATCTATTAGTTCTATCATATCTATTATATATATTATATTTATTATATCTATTAGTTCTTATTACTATAAATAGTATTTATTAGCAATAGAATAATCTTTATTGTAATTATTTATATATATATAATATCTATAAAAATACTATTTTCTGACCCTTTAAGAAAGTTAAGTATCTCCATACATTTCAATAAGAAGTGTCTTCATACATTTCATAATTAATAAACTGAATACAATATTTAGTATTTTCATATACTATCTATTGTTGCCTCTGCTTTAAAATCCCAAATCATTCTGTATTTTGTTAAAGGCTTGTGTAGACTTTTATAGAATTTGTCAAGTTATAGTCATCATACTATAGTTGAGCAGCTTCTGTTATTACTGTGGTTAAAGGAAAAAACTACAAGTTAATAGCAGGAACTGGTAAATCTTATATAATACATTTAATACTTGAATATCTACAAAAAACTTACTGTAACTATTTATTAATGGCATCTACTAGCATAACTACCCAAATTGTTGGTAGTTTGACAATACATTCTACTTTAAGAATTATTTCTAATGAATGAGGATTTCATATTTTTGCATTTTATAATCAAGATTTTAACAATCATCTCTTCCAAATTGATACACTCATTATTAAAGAAACCTTTATGATATCAGGTCAACTCTTGACATACTTTTCTGAACTATTTGAATCACTTCACAAGAACAATAACCCATTTGGGGGGTATCAATGTCATTTTAGTTGATGACCTAGCCCAATTACCTTCAGTTTCTGGTTCTCCTATTTACCGATCCCCGATATGGACTATTTTTTATCTACTATTTCTTTGTGAACCTCAAAGACAAAATCAAGACACACAATTTTATGATCTTCTACAAAAAATTAGGTTAGGTAAAATTGATGATGCGATGAGTGCATTACAACCCAAAAAAATCTAAAACTATCAGATCATCAAAACTAGAAACTATGCTTAATACTACACATATAGTAGGTTATCGAGAAAATGCTAATTTAATTAACAGAATTATATTGATAATGATCCCTACTCAAAAAAATAAATTCTTGATTTCTCACTCTATTGACATGATTAATGATCAGATATGTAATGATAATTCAAGATTTCATGAATTTAAAAACAAAACTAATTTACCAGAAACAATTAAAATTCAACCTGACACAAGAGTTATGTTTCTCAACAACTCTCAACACTGCCATCGAATAGCAAATAGTACCATAGGTATCATTACAGATCTAGATCTAGACTTAAGTCTTGTCTATGTCAATTTCTGTGTTGAAGGAGCTATTATAAATGTTTCTTTTTCTAAATACACTAGCAATTTCTATATAAATAGTATACCTGCTAGTTATACCCAATTCCCAATACAAAATGCATTCGCTTTGACTGTTCACAAAACACAAGGACTCACCCTTCCTGATGTATCTTTGAATCTGAATGACCAAATCTTTGCTCCCGGTCAAGCATACATAGCACTAAGTCACTGTACTAGATAGGACCATGTAAAAATACGATCGTTAGACCAGAATGCATTTATAACAGACACATCAATGATAGACGAATATAACCAACTAGAAATAAAAGCCTGTAACCCATTACCATTAAATATATAACTTCAAAAAAGTTCATTATCAAAAATTTTACAAATAATAAAAACAACACTTTACTATCCCTAATAATATATTAACACAAAATAACATTTACTAATATCATTATAAAAATAACTTACTTGTTACAATACTATAAAAATAATTATTATACAAGACTTAATAATTAATTAAAATCGGATTTCCCATTAATTTATTACCTTTATTATACCTTATTCTCTATTAAAAGCCTTATATCTATGTATTTTACAAAAATATGTGAATATGCGATCGCTTATGTGAATTTAACCTCGAACTTTCTCTTTTCTGCTTGAACGATATGCCAACTACTATTACTAAATCATAAATCGATTATATAGTAATTTCAATGATTGACTTCGTTATTAATACAAATAACTAGTGGGAGCCCTAATTTTCCCTACCATTTTAATATAATTCACTTATCGGCACCGATCAAATGTTACGATCAGGTGTAACATAAAGAAACGCAAAAAAATATAAAAAATATTAAATCGCTTATTACTCTAAATTCGATCTATGAAACTATCTCCTGCGCATTAATAAAAAAATTTCTTGTAAAATTTTAGTATGAGTAATATCTTCTAAATATAACCTAATGACAAAATACCGACTCTAACCTAACAGCGCAAATTTTACTTAAATTTTTTTATTGACTAATAATATAAATGCACCAACAATTGAATAATTAGTACAGCCAATTAGAAGTGGTGGAGGGAATTAGTAAATCCGTAACTAGTGCTCTCAAACTGATTACTATATACTTTAATTTATTAATAAAACAAATATTCAATTAATACTATAACACGACCTTCTCTTTAAATATTATACGCCGAAATTCGTCTAATTGGCTAATGAATTTGATTAACTTTACATTATTTATACAGTATAGAATACTTTTTTTAAAAAACCCCAAAACCTGCCGTAATAAAATAAAAAAAATCATATAAAAACTTTCATTACAGCTTCAAGACTCCATAGTCAAAATAAGATCTAATTCTCATCCGTTTAAAAAAATTGATTTAATAATAATTTAATTTTATCAGATTTTGAAAAAGTATTACTATCCTACCTTTTTTAAACAAACAAAAATCAAATTTTATTTTAACTATAAAGTCCTACATCTCTAATGAAACCCTCTACATCTCATTTTTCATTTTATTATAATTAATATTCATTTTTTTTAAAAAAAATACTATAAACTACATAAATGATGTAAAATTAAAACTAAATTTATTAACCAACCAAACAAACTTCTACCTATAACTTTAACTGAGTAAACAAAAACTTTAATACACAACTTAAATATTTCTACATCCTAATTTAGTTTTACCAATCTAATACATCTATCTATTCTTAGTAAATCAATTCTTTAAACACATATCTTTTATCTCTAAAATATTAAATTTATCTTTATAACAACTACCTTCAGTTCTAACTTTATACATAAAACATACTTTGTACCCTATATTTTATACCCTTAAACTCATATCTATATATTTTAAAAAAATATCAAATGATCAATACACTAAAAATTTATATTTAATATATTTATATACAATAAAATCTGTTTTATTTAAATTTTTAAATATATCTAAATCTACTATTATAATCCTATTTAAAATTTAAGCAATATTTTTTTAAAAAAAAATGATGCTATAACAACTCCAACTGGGCGGCGAAGCCGCCCACATCTGCATCCTCTAGTTATTATTATAAATTTGAAAGAACTTTCAATGAGGCTCACTTTTAACAATAATATTCGCCGATTCTGTTATTCGAATACTTCGAACTTTGTTATATCTATCATATGATCTAAAACCAATTAAATTGATGAATTTGCATATTTAAAAGGATTGATATCTGTGTAACATCAAATATAGTGTGAGCGGTAGGATAGTAATGCCGGAAGCTTGTGATCGGTGTGACGAATTAGATCACCTACCTTAAATGGGTGTACCGGCAGTATACACTGTATCCTCTGTACACTAAGTATCGGATTGATAATTGATATCAGTGGGATAATGGGAATTAGCAGAACTAAGAGTATAATTAAAATAATCATTATAAACATTATCACCAGTATAATTAGCATAAACTTTATAAGTCGTATAAGCGGTATATCACGAATAAAGGGTATAACGTGTTATATGTAAATGAAAGTATATAATAAAGGCTTCAAGCCATCCAAGAAAAGGGAAGTTCGTGCTTGTAATGAAGGTTGACCCTCATAATTCCCTGGCCTTCGCTACCTTGCAAAACCTACGATCATAAACACACCACTCGCCAAATCTAACC